AGACTAGCGGGTGCAGCACGAGTAGGTTGCATTTGATGCATCACCGCGGCCCAATGAGTAATAGGGCACCCTCGGGTTGCCGATCGTCGGGCTACCATCGTGCGTTTCGTAGTTGGTGAGATAATAGACATGCAATCTAACCTCTGTGTACCATCCCTCGGCACATCCCGTTGGACGATTATGCATACTGCAAGGGCAGATCTAACATCACATAGACAGTGCGGTTGGCTGCAGGCACTGCCTAACCTGAGTTTTTCATAACTGGACCAAATGAATTACTCGGATCTGCCAAAAACATCAATTTAGTCAATGTATACCTGGTTGTGAATCCCTGCAGAGTGTTTACTCTTTCTGTCAATTGAATGGTAGTTTGCGAGTTGGCACCATTCTACCTCACCTCTGATGTGCGTCTGACTGCTAAGGCCCAATGATATATTTTGTAGCCTCTATAGTAGCGGGTGCACTCAGAGCACCACAATAATCACGACCCAGTCCCGCTTTAAAGGAGAAGTTGTGCATTCTGTAAGGAAACTTATTGGTGGTCAGAGCCCCCGACGTGCGGCCAGCTCCGGGTCCGCGTGCGCGTCTATTGGCAAAGGTGGTGTGGGCGGGAGTTAATATGCGTCACTCGAGAGTCAGTCGGTATCAGCTTGGTCGGTTGATTGGATAATAGCGGAGATTGTGGGCACCCGTGATTGACCATCCTCGAGGACGGATGCGTTCACGTTCTAATCAAATGATTCCTAGCACGGCGTGGGGGCCAAAGGCGGGAGGCCTATTCCACTTGAGGCGCTACAATCTGTCGAAGGCAGTCGGTTAGACTGTCGTCACGCAAATTATGAACATCCGGAATGAAAGGCCGACGACTGATGACTTAAGTGTGCTCTGTCAATCAACAGGTTAGCGTCAGCATGGGTGCGCATCCTACAGGTACCCCATAAACTGTGTGCCTTCCCCTATGCATGAATCGCTTTTTAACATTGTGCATGAGTCTGAATACAGAACGTCGGGCAAATAAAGTTCTTATTCTCCGGCCCAGTCTCAGTCTCGTATACCACCTTGAACTTGCACTCCGTGCTATGGCCCATACTAAAAAAACAGCACCCAATAGAATGAGTAACGGGGCTCCCTACAACACGCTGAGTTTCAAAGTTGTTTGCGAAGGTGTTCAAGTCATCGGTGGTGTCAAGAGTCTGCATCCATATAGACTTCGTGCCGCCGTCCTCCGTGAAACCCGTCTCCGCCAAAAAGGCGCAGATTTCTTAGTCCATAAGATGTTTTTCTAACGTCTGGTACATGAAACCAACAAGAGTATCAACGCATCTGGAACCCGGCAGTTTCTGATCTACAGGAGAACACTGGAACCTACTCGTCCGGTCTCTTCGAAACGCCTTATGCTCATTATACCAAAAGACATTCGAATGACTTACTGCATTTTTGCGAGCATCGCGGTAACTTAAGCATGGGCAGACTAGCCACTGCGGTCTTCAGGCCAGGCTCAAGTAGAAAAGAGAAATGTTAGACGCTACTACAGAAATCATTGTACTTTCTACATGATAAAAGGAAAAATAGCTGAGGAAAGTTATCTAGGCCAAGAAAAACGCGTGTCCGGCGTTGTCGGAGCAGGCATAAAGGCGCCTTAAGCGAGGAGCACGTCTGCGTCGACACTGAAGTTGACTGATCAGTTGAGGTATCTATGATTAGCCAAAAATCGGACAGACTCTCAGCTTCAGAGCGTGGCTAGACGCGACGGGAACGTCAGGTTGTGGCGACCGAGGATGTTGAGGACAACAGATACTCGATCCGACGAATCAATCAGGAGTAGTTTTCCGTCTATGGAAAAAATAAACTGAGCCGTCAAGACTCACGCCAAATACGCTTGTTCGAAAAGTATGAAATCTGTGTTACGAGATATATGTAAGTAGATTGAACCATAGAGAGGAGATACGGTACTACAAAGGGAAATAACGTTAGGTATGTAACCAGTCCGTCTGGAATGGGAGGTGGTCTCCACATGTCCACTAGACTACCGGCCGGGAGGGGTTCAGCACTCGGAGCAGCTGTGGGGGGAGGGTCGTTGAGGTGTGCCGACGATAGTGAGGATGCAAGCACGAGCGAGAGCGGGAGAGATGTCAACGGTATGAAGGCAGGGACATCGACTATATTCGGCGACACGCGGCCGCACCATCCTCATCCAGGATCCACGTGGAAATATCTGCAGTACACTCGAACAACTCGGTCAGATCCATGGTGTCGTAGCCATGCTACCGCATATCTATAAAAATTCACGGCCCTCTCCCACCTTGCCTCGGTGATTGTTGCACTTGGTGTGATGACTGTTTGGTGGCGTTACTTGCTGCAATTTCATCACGAGTGTTGGATGTTGGTGTGATGATCGCTTGACCATCCGACTCACCGATCCGGGCGTTGGGAACAGTCTTCGGCTGTGCGCTCCCCACGATACTGACTGTATTACTACTCAAATTGGAAGCTCAACGAACAGTTTAATTCCCTTCAAGGGGGTGCAGACGAAATCAGAATACTTAATTTAAAACCTTTTCATTTTGCCAAACACTTCGCGGTCTGTGCTGAACCAGAAAATTTCCCTGGATAAATCTAGAGGAGAAACAGGGTGGGACAGTTTCAAAGATCTCGTATACATATGGAAGTTTATTCAACCATCAATTTAGGTAGTATTAGAAAGGCAAAATATTGAAACCCACGGGTTGATTTGAAACCCCCACCCCAGCCGGCCCTTTGTTTCGTGTTGTTTCTTGCTGTTCGATCGTCGTTGCCGACGATGTCCTCCGTGTGCTCCACAGCAAGATGACAGCAGGCACGGTGACTTGTGCGAGAGTTGGTTTATAGTGGCAGTGGACATGCACAGCATCCAACGCATTCTCGCCTCCTCTCCAGCCTGCGCTCGGTGTCTGGACATAGTCAAGAAGACCGAAGGCGGGAGGGCACGCAGGTGGCTGGTACGATCGGAATCGCACCTAGGCGTACCACCACGCCCCCTTGTCCACAAAAGCACTTAACCAGCATTTTAACCAAAAGCAATGACGAGTCAGAAAGAGGAGGATGAGCGAGCAACCATGCACGAGACCTGTATACCCGACGGGAGTGCAAGCGCATCCATCGGCAGCGAACTAGGTGCATGGGAACTGTCAGCACACACAAGGCTGCCAGAGCCATGGTTTGCCGAGGCGTGGAATAGCATACGCACACAGTCCTTAATGACCACAAGGGTGAGAGACAGCTCTGCATTTAACCTAGTCCGTCACCCTCCGAAGGCCCGGTAGCCAGTCAGTAATCGACTGGGAGGCACTACTCATAAAGAACTTCGACCGTCGATTCCAACGATGTCCACCGTGTGATACACAGTAAAGTGCAGCAGGCATGGTGACTTGTGCGTGAATTAGTTTGTTGTGATAGTCGACTCGCGCATCATCGGCCGCACTCTCTCCTCTTCTCACACCTGCGTCTGGTGTCAAGACAAAGTAAGAAGACCAGAGGTGGGGGAGGGCGTAGATGGCTGGTACGGCTGGACCCGTACCTGGACGTGCCACCACACCCCCACAACTTGCACTTCACCAGGATTTTTCACAAACAACAACAACACCCCAGCAGGGGTCAGAAGGATAACCGTGACTGACAGCCATGCCCACCACCTCTGTACCCAGCAGGAGCGCAAGCGCATCCACCGGCAAGGGTCCAGGTGTCAGGGGATTGCCAGCACATACTAGGCTGCGATACTGGCATAGCACACGCCTTCAGACCTTTTGACCTAGAAGGGCGACTCATGACCCTGCATTTAGCCTGAGCCGTCACCCTTCAAGGTTGGGTAACCCGGCAGTCGTCGACTGAGAGTAACTACCCAAAAAGCACACGTACATAACCGAACACTCTCCTCACATGCATGAGAGTGTCACAGATGGCTTGAGAATGGACCGTGACAGCCTGCCTCTCAGCCCACCAGTTCTTCTCCACTCCAAACAACACACGCACAACTGGGCAGACTGTGCGGAATGAGCTGAGGGGTCAGTCGGCTGCCTTGCGAGTCACGGTGCTTGAGACACCGTCTTCGTCCCAGACTCCGATCACACATGCAGCAGAGGAGCCGCATGGAGACGGAACTGAGACGAAGACTTCCCACTTGCGTGGGAGGTGGCAGTAGGTAGCTTGCAGTGGGTGATGTTGATATGCGGTGAGATGCTGGCGAGGGAGGATGTGATGGTGTGGTGCAGCCGACGGTTGTCTACCCCAGGTTTTTGTGGACGCGCATGTAGCCTAATAGACCCATGCGGTGAATAAATGTGAGAGTGCAATGTGGAAAGTGGAGGCGGATGCGGCAAGTATAAATTGGTGCTCCAGACACTGGTTCGCCAGTCACCGTGCGATGGATTGGCAGTTGATCGACCAAGCTGATGTTTAAGGTGAAGGCGTCATCGCAATGAGGACAGGTATAGACCAGACCCTCATCACTGGTGTTGACGGTGGTGGTGTTGGTGTTAGTTGGTGTGTCAGAACCGCGTGTAGTGTTGATGGGCATGGCAGACCCCACAGCGGCATACTTTGAGGTGGTGATGGAGGAGAAGGAGAAGGAGGTCTTCCCAGTTTGTCAGGTTGATCAGCAGGCGCCATCATGCCATCGTGGAGCTAACGCACCATCTTAGTGAATTGCTCGCGATAGTCGAATTTATGTATGATTTTCCTCGGCGCTTCACCATGTTGACGGCTTTTCTCAGATCCATGAAGGTAGAATAGAGGGGCGTTCGCATCTCCTGACACTTCTCCTGCAGTTGACGGGCGGCGAAGCTCACATCCGTGGTTCCACGATGAGGGCGGAAACCTCACTGACTTTCCGGCAGCAGACCCTGTCCCGTATAATTGTTCAGGCGGTTGAGAAAGATGCGAGCGAAGATCTTACCTGTGATTTTCAGCAATGAGATGCCCCGATGGTTGTTAGAGAGCTGGCAATTACATTTCTGCTCGTAGAGATGGACTATTGTCGCGTGCTTGGGATCCTGCGAGACTTCTCCTTGATGCAGGCCATTGCCATTCGAGCCGACGAGACCATGGGGACCTGGCACTCATCTCCAGACAGCATGGTCTGTGCCGACACGGATGTTGAATTCACCAAGGACAATCAGCTCCCGAAGAAATTGTCGCCGGCACCCACCTCTTCCAGTTGGCTGCTTGTAGAGATGGACTGTTGTCGCGTGCTTGGTATCCTGCAAGACTTCTCCTTGATGCCACATCTCCTGGACGAGCGTCATCAGATGTTCCTTAAGATGTCAGCCATCGTGCTCGTAGATCTCAGCAGAGATCGCGTCCTATCCAGGCGCTTTCCCACTGAAGGGTTGCTGAACGGCCCTGATGGTTCTGTGTCGAGACGGCGGGAGGTCGAGTTCGGCGTTGGTCTCCACTTGAGGTAGACGGGCGATGGCGGCGTCGGAGATGGTGTAGGGAAGGTTGAGAACGCCTCTGAAGAGTTCGGATCATCGCTGCAGAATTCGTGTCTTCTCAGTGAGTAGGGTACTGCCGTCGACGCTGAGAGCAGGAGCAGTGACTTTGGCTGTGGGTCCGTAGACATCCTTAATCGCGTTGAGGAGGTTCTTCCATTCGATGCGGTCCGCATACCCTTATGTCTCCTCGACCCTGCGAGCCGTCCAAGCATCCTACATCTAGGGTAGCCGCTATTGTACAAGGCGGCGACTATGGAAGAAGGCTGATTTGTTGTCGCCGGTGGGCGGTTGATGTAGGCTCTGTTCAGGCGGTTCTTCTTGGCGAACAGGTTGCTGATGGCGGCGTTGTTGCCACCGAACCATTCCCAGTGTTGGCGATGTGCGCGACCGAGGGCAGTCAGGGCCGTCGACTGGACTGTGTCCCGCAGTTGACATCATCGGTTCTCCACAGATGCGTTCTCATCGTCTTCGGCGGCGGCAGCGGCGGCGGCGGTGGCGGAGACAGCGACGACAACGACGACTGGAAGTTTGGCTGGCCGTTGAGCTAGCTCATTGCTGAAATTAGAATGGTAAGCAGGCAAACACAAGAAAGCCATATCCAACTTCCCTGATGGTCGCTTTCCTTGAGGTCTCTTGTGAGGCTGCAGACGAATCCTCATCTTGGAGATGACAAGACGACGGTCCGTCCACCCGTCAACACCCGTAATTGCCTTTGTCACCAACACGTCCCGCTGGTCTCGAATCCGGATGAGGACATGATTCAGAAGGTCTAAGTGTCACAATCGAGAGTGCATTCAGGTGGCCTTCTCTCGCGTCGGAAGGCAGAAGAAAGTGTTGGTCAGGATGAGCCGGTGTTCAACGCAGGTTCGGAGGAGGAGCAGGACATTGTCATTAGAGTCGTCGAGACCATGGGGACGCAGCACTCCTCTCCAGGCAGCATTGTTTGTGTCGGAGCGGGCGTTGAAGCCACCAAGGACAATCAACTTATCCGCCTTCGGCACAGTCGTCAGAAGTGCGTGCCGGTCCTCCTAGAATTTGTTCCTTACAACGTCAGGGCTGTTCATCGGAGGAGCGTAGACGCTGACGATGGTGGCGAATTTGCCTCACCCCGGAGAGGCAGGCGGAGGTTCATAGACAATCATTACCTGCGGCAGGCAGGACAGTCGTCTCACGATGTCGCTCCGGATGGCCAAAGCGACACCCGCGCCACTTTGTTCTGCCCTGGGGCGATCGTCCCAGAAGAAGGTGTAGTCGGCACCCACCTCCTCCAGTTGGCCTTGTTCGGAAAACGGGATATCCCTGAGTACTGCGATGTCCACCTTTTAACGCGCCAGTTGCTGAGCCACTAGTCCCGTCCTTTCGTTCCGTTCGGTTGCTCTTCCGATTGTCTAAATGGAGCAAACATTCCAGGCTGCCAGAGTGAGCGAACTCACCCTATCGGCCTGGCGAGTGGAACGGGGGAGGAGGATGAGGAGGGGGGGGAGAGAGAGGGTATTGCCTCTGGTTTGATTTTTACGACCGTGCATTTTGCGTCGGGGGCCACGTTCAGCCTGCAGACGGCATGGGTCACGTGGACCCACCGCTGGACACTTCTTCACCGGCACCACCAATAAAGCACACACACACACACCTCACATACGTGAGGATGCCAGAGGTCACGTAAAGAAGTAGTCGCTGCAGCCTGAACCTCAGCCCATTAGTCTGCCGCTCCACACAAACACACAACTCGGCTGACTGCATGGATTGAGTTTAGGCGTCAGTCGGCAGCCTTCCATGCCACGGCGTTTGGAGCACAGTGATAGTCTCCGACTCGAATCACACATGCAGCAGAGTAGCCAAGTGAAGAAAGAAGAGGGGGGAGAGAGAATTTGTTGTTTCTTGTTTGATGTTTCCGACCGTAGGTATTGCAGTCTGCGAGCCACGGTCTGCGCGCGGATGTCGTGAACCCAGCATTTCTTTAGGGCACCTCTCATAATTTCCTTTCCCACCAGGGGTAACCAGTGCTGTACCTATACAGGGCTACTTATTCGTCCCATACGGCTTCCAAACTCCACTCTGGGTCATGGACTGGTTTAGCGAAAGAACAACCGATTGGTCTGGACCGTCTGCGTGATTGTGTGTCGCCCACGCCATAGGACCTGTCGACCGTGAGAGGGGAGAGTAGAGTAATTGGTGTAGAGGGAGGTGAGAGAGAAGGTAAGGGGGGAAGATGGAGAAGAACAGTAAAGTTACCGGGCCTGGAGACTCACCCAGATACCCTCACCTGGTTTAGTCCACCGGTCAGGTCGATTATCAGTGTGTAGCTGCTAGGCAGAGACTAACCTCGTGGGCCGGGTGCCAGTTAATAGACGCTAAGCACAGTCAAAACCTGCAAGCAAGTGAGCGGCCTATTACGACAGCACGCGAACCCACAACTGGGCATCCCTATACCTCGTCTAGTTTAATAGGCTGCCAATTACAAGCTGTCTGGGACAACTGCTCCCGCACCTCGTTACAGCATTATTCTACTGTTCACATATTGTCAAGCTACGGTAATTCTAAACCCTGTATTTGACTGAACAGCCAACCCACCTAATGTCAGAACGGCGACCGACTAGTCGCCACTGCTAAATTGACTTCTAATCTGCATCGCTCGACGGTGCTAACCCATCGGGTCGATGAAAGATGCCTACGTCCAGGTAATACGACCTGTGTTCGTTTTCTTAGCCTACTTCGTTAAGTTGGGAAAGGCGCACTTTAAATTCCGCATAAAACTGGCGGCATGTTAGCTCGCAGAATGCATTAGTCGGAATGCGGTGAACCATTATGAATTCGCCAGTGCCTCCAGCGCATGTGTGTGGTTAACGTCAAACGGAAATTCATGCGAAGCAATAATTGCCTCCTATAAACTTCCCATTCGACCAACAGGCTAGGATAAGCTATGGTAACCCAGGAAGTGGGTATACCTCTAGTAAACGCAGAAATCAGGACCTCGTTCAGTTTTAGGGGAAAAGACGCTAGCAGGAGACCTGTATTCTGTACAGAAGCTTGGCGGTGCTCCGAACCCTCAACGAAATGCCGGCCGTTGGCTTGCTCGCATGTTCCCCCCAAGGTTTGTCACGTGAACAATACCCAGTATCGACCGCTCTCGAGGCTGCACGTGCGCCGTTTCACCCGCTCGTAAGTCGCGATGGCGCGATCCCTAGCATGGCGTATGTGCCACAGGCGGAAAGTGTTAACGCGCTTGAGGCTTGGTGTTTAGGTAGGAGTAGAGAGACTCCGACCGATACGGAGATACCATTTTTATAACTTATAGCACATTACTCACCAAAATAACTCTAGCCCCATGAAACAATTACGACACGTTCAACATCGTACTCCCCCATCGACAGTTCGACTGTTGCTGGCGACGACGCTCACCCGGTGCCCCACGGAGCGGACGCGGGACAGCGACTTGGGCAGGAATTGGTATCTAGCGAGGCAGACTTGCGCAGCATCTATCGTACTCTCCTGTCTCACTCGCCTGGCTCCGATGGCAAGACGGCGCCAAGACGACAGGCAGCGGGCCAGAATGCAGAGGCCGACAGGGCTAAACAGGCCGACCACGCGTGCCGCACACGACCTGGTCTCCAATACGTGTACCAGGCACGCATGCGAGGAAGCGGCAGGGACTGAACGCACAAGAGAGGCTGCACTAAGAATGAGCCATTGGGTCTGACTCTCATTCATGAGGAGGACCCAGTTATACCCATCAGCAAACAGCCTTCCAGACTGTTGTGTATGCAAAACAGATGGTCAGTTGTAGACAGGGCGTGTACTGGGTACGGGAGGCGACACAAGTGGGGAGCCCTGTAGACACGGCTGGGCAAGGGGAGGGGGAATGTCATGGGTTGAAGGGTGGCCAATCAGTGCCAAGGTTGTCTGGACGGGGGTACACGACCTTGGTCGCGCGCATGTGGCGTGGTGTCTAGACAGTCCGGGCAACGTACTCTGCACAAACCACGACTTTCAAAACGTCATGATTTCCATTGGTGGGGAATGCACTGATGTGTCGTATGAGTGGATTCCCAATTTCGACCTCAATCCCTCTTCCCTCCATCATGCGACAGTCCGAGCCTGTCAACCGGCTTAAGTTGGGTTTAGGCACAGTGACTGGCGTGGCGTGCAGCCATGCCTAGGTGTGTCACTACATCCTCCTCCCCCATGTGCGGCAGTGGTTTTGGTTTCCCGTGGACTCCACGCGGTCAGTTTAATGCAAACCGTGATCTATCCTGGCCCCGATTTCGGTACAACACATGCGCAGAGCGGCTGGTTGTGGGGGCTCATTTCCACACATATGATCATGCCCAACCTAGCCGGTCTCCATGGTGGCGCGGATCGTACCTCTCCCTACCCGACGACCTGCGGCAGTGGATATGGAGAGTTCGATCCCCTCTCAGTTCCAATGACACAATCCGAACCCAATGACTTGGCAGGCTGTTCAACTGACCAAGTCTATAAAAAAAACTCGGCGGTCACGGTGGTATTCAAACCCACGAGAGTGAGAGAGCTCCGGTCTTGAGTACAGCCAACGCTTCAATCTTCTGAGCTATGAGGTTCAGATAGAGAGCCATAGGTTTATTCACTTCCGGTGCGGAGATCACAATCGAGTCAATTGACTTATTCAAATGCGCCAAAAAGTTGTAAAAGAGTAAGTCTCAGAGTCAGCTGGTGGATTCTACACTGACTACTTAGACGGTTAGGTTACTGCATCAGAATTGGTTGGGCGGGTATCTTGGACCAGACATGATCAAACTCACGGCTTATAGCCCAATTTATGAGGGTGTTTACTGCATTCAAACACTTCTCTTGCCGCCGTAGTTTCTGTGCTACCTGGGCCGCATTTTTTTTGAATCAATGAAATCTGTCACTAACGTCTCGCATGTCCTCTTTAGCCCTTGCATCTGAACACTTACCCTGATAATTTATTAGTAACTCAAACTACTCGACTAATGCTAACTAAAATCAACACCACCGGCTTTTGGGAAACTCTGAGATGTTTTTCACGAAAAATAACGTCCGTGAAGTTGAATCCTATAAAACCAAACTCATCCCGTATTATGTCGTATACAGAGGAACCTAGCAGGAAGTTACGAATCCTCACTCTCACATTTCGTGTGATTTTCTGCCGGATGCACATGCACGTTCACGTTTAGTCACACGTCTGCAGGATTTTGTATGTTTACTCATGCTCAGCGTATAGCCGATGGCCTGGCCACGAGCCGATTCACCCCCGTCTGTCTTAAGCTACCCTGTTTCGGAGTCAGTGTAATCACACGAGAATCATTGCAATGTGCATCGTAGATTCGCATATTCAGACCATTTTATAGCCCACAGAATGTGTAGACTGAGAAAATGAGGGACGAGCCAGGTTAGGCCGACTTCGGTAAAATAAATTTCAAAAAGAACATTTGTTGTGGGGAGGCTCGATCTGGTTTACGCGCTGAGATAACGCATAAACCGGTTCAAAATTTCTCTCACGCAAACAACGGATGAACTTCCTCGTCTGCATTTCAGGAGTGTCGGACCTACAGAAGGTCTCGAAGGGGGGCGGGGGGGAGTTCAGCTAGTTGTTTATAATTATGGTCAAAACAACTGGTCTGGTTTCAGGAAACAGCATCTTTCCCATCCAAGGTTGCGTGCATGTTACTGACGTTCCTACTTGTCCAACCAACCTGTCTTCCCCGACTTCCGATTTGGGAACATTCTGGTTGTCGGCAATTACATCTCGACAGGAACTTTGAGAACAATTCATTCCACGGAGACCGTAAATCGTGGTAAGTAACCAGAATTATTTTCCGCCAAACTAGCGATAGCCATAAGTAACTCGTTTTTTCTCAAAATATTTTTAAACTGAAACCTAGCTTCACTTTTTCAAACATCAGACAGCCTACTGTCTATAATTTTGATATTCTCTCGGACAGTTTAATGAAGAAAAGAAGGTCAAATGATATAGAAGGGGTTCTCTTAAATTGTGATGTAAGAGCTCAAAAACAAAGACTGAAGGCTTGTGTTGGAAATCGGCCAGACGACCTTAAAGATGAGTGAGCTAATGGGTCAAAATCCCCTTACGCTCTCAGCAGGTCTCGACTCAATGCCAGTAAAGCGTGTGTCTGGCTTGCGGACAAAGTTGATCCAGGAAAAAAGAGTGGAGCATTTCTATCCCCCTTAAAAAATACGGAGGACTTTTCTGCTGCATATTGAAGCAGTTTTCGTTAGCTTTGCTTACTTTTAGGTTCCCTTCAGGCAAAGGTGTCGTACTTTCTCTGTTTAATTGACTGCAACTTCGTCCCGAAATATTTGAAACCGTCCACTTCTTAAAACTGACAGCCACTAATCTCCAAAGGTGCTTTTTCCTTCGGTCAGAAATGCAGTTTAATAATACGAGAGTTTTGGGAATGCTAATCGATAAGCCGACTGATTTGAGGGCCTCATCCACCTGAGACGCTGCATTCCGGAGGCCATCGGTAACTTGACGACAATAAAACAATACCGGTAGCGAAGTCAAGATCACTCGGTTGGCACCCCGGCGCACATTCAGCAACATCAAAACTGCATAGAATACTGCTGAGAATCCAACGAATGGCGTAATTGAACAGCATGGAGTTACAGAATGCAACCTTTTCGAAAGCCGGACCAAATGTCGAATAACTAGAAGAAGGCATTGTGCAACAAGACTCTTACAGTGTGGAGCGATATCAGGCCGTGACCACGGCGAAGATGTTTGCCGGCACGACCCGCGATGAACGTCATCAATGACGCTAAAAAAGTCAAGAAGCCAGGTGACCACCGATTGCTGGTAGCCTTAGTGGGATTCGAGAATGTGCTCCAGTGTGAGTATCTGGTCGGTGCACTCATGTCCAACTTAGAACCTGGCTCACTTGAATCCACGCCCAGAGTCGCGCACGCTCTGAATTCGCCTGAGAGTAACCACTGCAAACACCTTCCAAGCAACTTCAACGAGACTTGTGCTGCGATGGTTCTCGTATTTTGCCTTTTTTGCCTTCCTGAAAACAAGCCCGTAGATGGCCCAGCTCCAAGCGCCAGGAATGTTCACCCGCACCTGTTCACTTATCTCATGGAGCCACGACGCTCGACTGTCGACATGGGACTTGTAGACTTCAGCAACAATTCATCCGCTCTAGGCGCCCTGCTGCTACACAGCCTCAGCACTGCATTAATGGTTATTTCTGAGAAATTGGGAGGGGCATGTGATATTGCATAAACTGGGGCGAGATGAAACTAAGCTACGGAGGTGAAACTACTGGTGGGTTGGTCCTCGACGTCAAGGACTGTTCGAAGTGCTCACGCCAGTATTCAAGCTTGGCCGAGTTGCCAAGATTAAAGCCACCATCCACATCGCGAGCTGGCGCTCGATACAGGGAACTTATCACTAACTTGGTCAATCAGTCGGTGGAACTTTCGAGTGTCACCGAAGTTTGAAGCTCTCCCCCTGCAGGTGTCACTTCCGTTCAAGAGTACCTGCCGTCATCTCTAGCTGAGATTGACACTATTTCCCAAATTTGGTGAAGGGGATCTTCATTGTGGGACTTAGCTCGAGCTGTACGGGCAGACGACCGTAAAACGTTAACTTTAAGTCCTGACCCCGTTTAAAGGAAAATAAATCTTTTTTCGCACCACTAAGTTGTTCGTGCGAGTCAGTTCAACAACCTGAGTGTTTGTAATCCGTTTTTAATACTCGCGTTCAGCAATCTCCACGGCCAGGTAGAGTTAGAGCTACTGACCCTCCTTGCTCGTTATTAGACGGTTCAGGTTGATGCACTATACAGCAGCGGCAATGTGGGTAGTACACGAGAATAAGAACCATAATCAGCACCCGTACTCTTTCGATGGCGAAACTCGATGGCGTCAAGGACGAATTCTTCGAGGCCTTACACGCTCCCCTTGTGATCTTGTCGAAGACGGACAAATCGATTATTCCTGGTGGCTTGAGTGCCCACGTCGGTACAGGCCACTACAGTTGGGAGGGGGTGTTGGGTCTCCACGGGATCGGTAACTGCAACAGCGATGGCCTCATTCATTTGCAGGTCTGAATAGGCTACAATCCATTTCTCAACTACACACTGTTTTGACTTCCGATTCGCGAGTAACCATGTGGATGAACTTCTACAGCAGTGCGCCCAGTTTGTTACCTTGCCCCCTGGCTTACTATTGGAGCAGGGAGAAGGCGAGGAGATAGAGTGAGATGGATTAGTCGCATGCAAGCTTCATTAATAGATTCGCGCGCGATTCGCTGCTGGGCGCACTTCGTGGGACGACGCTGGACGTCGCTGTGCAGGACAGTCAAATTGTCGTAATCACTCCATTAATATGTTACTGTATTCAGATGGCGGACCCTTTTTCTTGCGGGCTCCTTATCTGCTAAAACAGTATACCTGCAAATTCAAATTGAGGTAATGCCCTTAACACTCGTAGGCAATGTGTCGTGTGAATTAAACTGCCTGCTCAGAACTCACAGGCGGTTGACTTTTCATCTGCGGTTGTGATTTTTTGCTCAGTGTATTCCCAGATTGCTTCCTACCTTAACGCAGGAAACTGACAGTTTTGCTTTCATGCTCGTCTGTTCAAACTTATAGCACACAACAAGTTCTGGGTATTAACGTATTGTACAACAT